TTTTAACAAAGACTGCTTGAACAATACAACTCAATGTGAAACACTTCCTGTCTCGGCCATTCACTGGAGGCAAGTTTTGACCCCGCCTCTTCTGCATATACAACAGACTTTTACTTTTAGTCAACAATTCACTTGATTTCTTAATTTTAACTAATGCAATCAACACATATACCCGGTACAGCGTTTTCATTTTTCATATGAGAAAAGAAACCGACGTTACCAGAAGAAACCAAACAAACACATGTTCGATGTAAATTCGCGAAGCAATGAATTCGATGTGGTCAACAACCTGCTAAAAGCTGAGATTTTCTTCGAAAAGCAATTTTTCTATATCAGAGGCAATTGAGGTCAATGATTTGATTTTATTTTTGTATCGCATAATGCGGTAGTTAGACACTTAACAACGATAAGTTTTACTTGCAACGAAATGGTTGCGACGAAATAATTATTATAATTACACTGAACAGCGTTTTTCATATCCGGTACCCATCATCCTTCACGTCGTCTCCATTGTTCAAATATTCAAAAATAGACACTTTTATCAAGGAAATAGCAAGTATGAACACATTTTCAATGAAATGTAAAACTTATACTATAGTCCCTATTAAACTATTTGAATACCGATGGCCTGCTTATGTTTTTGTACAGCCACCCTCTCCAACAAAATAAGGGCCAAGGGCTGTGAAACTATCTGAATGTGCTAATATATAGTCAGGACATGGAGGTAAAAGTAAAAATAAAAGTCTCAGAATATATTAAAATATGTATACATGTAGATACAACTTATTGTATAGTATATACATGTCATGCAATAAATATCGTCTATCTCCATGCGATACGTTACTTCAACGTTCTTTCACACGACACAGTACATGTACCTCTAATTGTGGGTTATTATAGTCATAAAAATGTCAATTATATCAGGGAACTCATAACAAATGAACTCAGAACTTGAAACTACAACTTACCTTCGAAACTCGCCAGTGAAAAACACCACTTTGCCTGGGAGAGGTTTTTGTATTCAGTGTGCGCATGCGTGGATCAAATAATTATGTCAAATACCACGGACCTGCAAATAAGCAAATTACTGCTGTAGATCATACTAGTTAAAGTGTATTTGAACTGGAGATGGGACGGAAGAACGTTTTCTTTACTGAATGGACACACACAATGCATGCCGAACTTAAAACTACTTCAATTATTCTCTGTTTTGAGCGAAGACATAACATTTACATTCACCATGACGTGATGCTTCCATATAATGAAAATAGCTGCCACCGATTCTCCATTAGTCCTAGGCGATTGTTTACTCTAGGACAGACTTTAAATTACCCCCTTAGAGGATAGAAGGAATACCCTTGACCCGTGTTTTCACAAGAACTTGTCGACGCTAACACGATTGTTATTTTATTTCTCAAGGCTCTAACTCGTCTTAACATGGAAGAGCCGGAGTATCATTGGCACACGAAATACATTCAGCGATTAGTCGATTTAGATACAAATGATAATGTGCTACCCACAATGCACCACATCACGCGAGATTAATACTTCGTGATAACGAGAAACATACTACCGTCTTTGAAAAAATACATCTCTATCCTATCGTTATAGACAACAAACTGGTCAAGTTTATCGTTAAATCTTGTTGCGATATGAATAATAATGTGTAAAGAAAATGTACATACACTTTTTGAATTAATAGTACGTACCAGTATTTCAAGGGGCATGCGCATTAGCGCTGTTAATTGTTATATATTCTGTAAATTACCGTAACAACGTGTGTAGTTGACGTCGGTCATCAGAAATATTCCATATTGTCGTGTGCTATCTGGAAACCATTAATTAAGCGTCGAACTTAATGTAACCACAGTGTTTCTAGGACTGCGATGTTACGCACATTCTGAAGAAGTGTAAGTTTCACCGAGGAGCTAGATACATTCGGGGTCATAAAAGGTCATAAAAACGAATCATAGCAGCGAAAATCAAACGGTTTATAGTTGTACTAACCGTGACTGTGAGCGTTGCTTCAACGACAGTGAGAGAGGTGTGAATCATATCCACCGAATGTACCCATTGAGTGTCTGTTCTAAAATCTGCCATATGTGTCCAATTATTTACGAAACTCCTCCAACAAATCGCACTTACATACATCGTTACCAT